TGACCAGATGACCTCCAAGGTCTCTTCCAACTCCTGTTATTCTGTTAATCCGAGGCTTTGGTGAACATGACAAGAGAGTCACGATTCATCGAAGAAAGAGTCGCCGCTTGCAACTCAATAGCCCCGATGCTCTTTTTGTCATTTTGTCCCCCCCCCCCACCCGTGACGCCTCCGCGCCCTCCTTTTATGCCTTTCCCCGCACCTGGATTGCGGAGCTGTGTGCTATGCTTGAACATGGAGGCTCAATTTTCTATAGGAAGAGAGAGCTCTGCAAGGACCAACTGTTGTATCCTCTCCTTTACCAGGAGAGCGTTAAATAGGTGCAGTTTTTTTTTAAAAAAAGAAATTATTTACTCGAGGATAATTTCCCTTTAACTCCCCCCCCACTCCCCCTTCCTGGATTTCTTATTCTCTGATCTGATCATTTTCTGAAAGTTTCAAATTTAACTTACTCTTTCCGAACTGTTGAGATTCGCCCAGCAAAATTCAAGAACGGCAACACCAAACTCAAAGTTTTCTCCAAAGGAGCTACAGGAAAAGGAATTCAGTAAGAGGAGTCTACATTTCTGGATCTACTCTAGCTGCTGAACTTTCTGCTTTTAACCCGTTCAGCTTCTTGGAAAGTTTGACCAACCTGATTGTGAAATGATCTCCCAACCAACCCTGCTTCCTTCTGCAGAATTCATTTTACAGCCCAGATTTAAAGCAACACGGAACAAAAAATGTATTTGCAATCACGATTCCATTTTGGAACAAGTTCTCTTTAGTTAGCCTTTGTTATAACTGTAAACCCAAAAAAGTCTTCAGAACTGGTCCTAAACTGGTTTTGAGAACGTCTGTTAAACTGGATCCAGGTGCAAAGGACTTTCCAGCAGTATGCATGACAATAAATACAGGTAGACCTCGACTTACAACAGCTCATTTAGTGACCATTGAAAGTTACAGCAGCACTGGAAAAAGTGACTTATGACCGTTTTTCACCGTTAGGACCTTTGCAGCATCTCCATGGTCATGTGATTAAAATTCAGACCCTTGGCAACTGACTCGTATTTGTGACGGTCACAGTACCCTGGGATCATGTTAACCAATGTGAGGATGGATATAAAAATAGATGACAATGGGAAGGGGTATAATATAGAATAGGAGGGAAAAATTGAATTTGATTAAGATTAGAGATGAGGATGAAAGGTAATATTGGTTTTTCTAAAAAAATAGATGAGGAATAAATATGGCAAAAAGGAAATATAGAAATTGTAAATTTAATTGAAATGACTAAACACTGTTTAAATTTGTGAACTGGCCAAATATTCTGTTCAAAGAAAATACATTGTATGTTTGTATGTGTGTTTCTAATTATTGCTATTTATTCATACTTGTTCTCTTTTATTCTTTAAAGTTTAACAATTCATACTTTATCTTAATATCCCTATATTTGTTTGGGGTTGGCTTTCTTCCCTTTCATCTTTTTTATTGTATAGCAATCTTTCTCCTCAAACCTACCACCTCTCTTTTCTTTTATTCTTACTTTCTCTTCCCCCCACCCTCTTCTTCTCCTCCCTACTTCCTCTTCCTTTCTCCTTCTCCTCTCTTCCTCTCTCTCTTACCCTCACTCCTACTCTAATTTCCCTTCCCTTCCTTCATCCCTCTCTATTGCTGTATCCTTTTATGCATATGGACTACTCAGAGGGCTGAAAAAGTTATTTCTGACTGGTCCTCGCACTTTTGACCAGTCATCGAACTTACGACTGTCCTCACATTTTACGTTTTTGCCCTATCTTGTCACCATGGTGAAGTGACACGGTTGTTAAGAATGCTGCAATGGGCATAAATGACGACCAGTCATAAGTGCAAAGACCCGTCAAAAGTGTGAGGACCTGTCAGAAATCACTTTTTTCATCCCTCTGGGTAGTCCTTTTGTGCATATGGACTACTCAGAGGGCTGAAAAAGTTATTTTTGACTGGTCCTTGCACTTTTGACCACTCCTCGAATTTACGACTGTCCACACATTTTATGTTTTTGCCCTATCTTTTTTTTTTTTATTGAAAAGTTTTACAAAAAGTTTACATATTTCCCCCCCCTTCCCTACCTCAACCTCCCCCCTCCCCCCCTCCCCTTCCCAGAACAAATTACAGGGTATAAACTTCAACAATCATAATCAATCCTAATCTAAACAATTATGACATTTCACATCTCTTGTTTCTTCAATTCCCTAATTACCCGCCTAGCTTTATTACTTAAAGACACACTAAATATCTATATAATCATTCATAACCTATCTGCAATTTCTTATTCCGATATTTATTTTGAATATAATCTATCCACCTTCTCCAGTCTCTTAAATATCTTTCATTTGAATGATCCTTCAGGTACGCCGAGATTTTTGCCATTTCCGCTAGATTTATAACTTTCATTGTCCACTCTTGGATTGTAGGTAAACCTTGCTTCTTCCAATATTGTGCCACCAACAGTCTTGCTGCAGTTATTAAATTCAAAATCAATTTAGTCTCTATAACTGTACAATCCGTAACTATACCCAAAAGAAACAGCTGTGGTGTAAATTTCAACCTCTTTTTAAGAATATTTTGTAAAATCCACCAGATTTTAATCCAAAACGCTTTAACCTTTTTACATGTCCACCAAATGTGAAAATAAGTAGCATCCTCACAATTACATCTCCAGCATTTTGGTTGTACATTCGGATACATACGAGATAACTTTTTTGGATCTAGATGCCATCTATAAAACATTTTATAAAAGTTCTCCCTTAAATTTTGCGCTTTGGTAAATTTCACATTTGTTACCCATATTTTCTCCCACGTTTCCATCATTATTGGCTGTTCAAAATTCTGCGCCCATTTTATCATACAGTCCTTAACTAGCTCTGTTTCCGAGTCCATCTCTATCAGTATATTATACAATCTTTTTATATGCATTGGGCTTTGATCTCTAATTTGTTTAATTAAATTTTCGTCACTTTGTATAACACCAGTTTTCTGGTCTTTTCTCCATCTGGCTTGTAACTGTACATATTGAAACCATGTTTGAATTATTTTCTCCTCTTTCAACACATTCACAGATTTTAATTTTAATATACCTCCCTCCATAATGAGAATATCTTTATACGTAATTACATCCTGTCTACATTCTATACTCGTATTCTCTATTGCGTGCCTGGGTGCTGTCCATATAGGTATTTTTTCATTTAACTTATATTGATATTTCTTCCAGACACGCAATAAAGCATTTCTCAGTATATGACTCTTAAATGCTCTGTCCACCCTTTTTTCATACACTAAATAAGCATGCCAACCATAGACCAGATCATACCCTTCAATATTCAATATCCTTCCATTTGTTAAATTAATCCAATCACTAATTGCTGATAAAACAGCTGCTTCATAGTACAATTTTAAATTTGGCATTTTCAGTCCTCCTCTTTCTCGTATGTCCTGCATTATTTTCAATTTTATCCTTGGTTTCTTACCTTGCCATACGAACTTATTAATACCTTTCTGCCACTCTTCCAGGTTGGCATCCTTTTTTAGTATTGGTATCATTTGAAAGAGGAACAAAAACCTAGGCAACGCATTCATTTTTATAACTGCTATTCTACCCAACAAGGACAATTGTAGTTTTTTCCAATTATCCATTTCAACTTGTATTTTATGCCATATCAATTCATAATTATACTTATACAATTTACCATTAGAAGATGCAATATAAACTCCTAAATACTTGACTTTTTTAACTATTTCACATCCCGTTACCCTTTGTAACTCCTCTTTTTGATTAGCTGTCATATTTTTAACTATCATCTTTGTTTTTCCAATGTTTATCTTAAACCCAGATACTTGACCATACTGTTTTATTATATCAATCAAAACCTTTGCTGATTCCACTGGATGAGTTAAGGTCATAACCAAATCATCTGCGAATGCCCGTATCTTATATTCATAATCTCTAACTTTGATTCCCTTTATCCCATCTGCATTACGTATTTTATTTAACAGCAACTCCAAAGTTAATATAAATAATAATGGCGATAAGGGACATCCCTGCCTCGTGCCTTTTTCAATTTTAAAAGTTTCTGTCAAACTGCCATTAATAATTATCTGAGCTGTCTGTTCCTGATATATTGCTTTTATGGACTGCATAAAGCAATTCCCAAATTGCATCCTATTGACCACTCTCAATAAAAATTGCCAATCTAATCGATCAAAAGCTTTTTCCGCATCCAGAAATATAAGCACCGCAGGGATTTGGTTATTCCTTTCCAAATGTTCCAATATGTCAACAATTTGTCTTACATTATTTTTCATTTGTCTACCTTGTATAAAACCAGTTTGGTCAGCATGAATCGTCTTCTGCATTACTAGCATTAACCTATTTGCCAATATCTTAGCAAATATTTTATAATCTGTATTCAATAAGGATATAGGTCTATAATTTTTGGGTTGTGTCAAATCTTGATCTTCTTTTGGAATTAACGAAATAAAAGCTGTTTTCCATGAAGGTGGTACCCCTTCACCCAGCTGAATTCTATTGAATAATTCTTTAAGAGGTAAAACCATCTCCAATTGTAAATATTTATAGTACACAGCTGTTAATCCATCCGTACCAGGAGCCTTACCAGTTTTTAACTGTTTAATTGTTGAGAGGATCTCCTCCTCTGTTATTAATTGGTTTAACCGTTCTCTTTGTTCCTCTGTAACTATTGGAATATTCTGTCTATCCAGATATGTCTCTACCTCTGCACCTTGTATTTTGTCTGCAGTATACAATCTTGCATAAAATTCTAAAAATGCCTTTTTAATCATATTTTGGTGATACAGCTCTCTACCTTTATACTCTATTTTCTCTATGGTACGAGATTTTTGTTTTTTCCTCAGCATGTATGCCAACCATCTACCTGGTTTATTTGCATTACAAAAAGTATTATGTTTAGCATATTGTAGATTGGTTGCCACTTGGTCTGAAAGCATCATATTAAATTGCCCACGTAATAAACTGATCTCTTCTTTAATTTTCTTATCCCCTGGGTTATCAATTAACATCCTTTCTTTTTTCTTAATCTCTTCTTCTAATTCCCTCCTTTTCTCCACTTGTTTACGCCTATAAGCATTATTCATATTTATCAGAACTCCTCTCATATATGCTTTACTAGCATCCCATACCATATCCATAGATGTTCCCTTGTTCATATTAAAAACAAAAAATTCCTTCATTAGTTTTTTACATTCTATTACATTTTTCTCATATCTGAAAAGGTTTTCATTTAACCACCAAGATCTCCTAACTCTTTCCCCACACTCCAGTTCCATCCAAACTGGGCTGTGATCAGTTAAAATTCTGGGACAAATCTTTATCTTCTTTACCCTGGAAAAAAAATCATTTGTAATTAATATAAAATCAATTCTTGAAAAGGATTGATGTCTGTCTGAAAAAAATGTAAAATCTTGTTCTCTATAATTCCTTTCACGCCAGATGTCTCTTAATTCCATATCCTCCATCATATCAAAAAAAGTCTTAGGCAGTCTAGATCGCAATTTGGTAGATTGTACTATTCTTTTCTTATCAATACTAGGGTCTAACACTCCGTTCCAATCTCCCATCAGTATACATGAATTATAATCCCAATGTAATAATTTTGTATGTATCAACTTATAAAATTTCTCTTGCTGTTGATTGGGAGCATATATCCCCAATAAGAGTGTTTTCTTTCCTTCTATCATTATCTCAATTGCCAGAAATCTTCCTTGTTGATCTGCCTCAACTAATTTAGCCATCAAATCTCTTTTCAAGTAAATCACTATTCCATTCTTTTTTTCCGGGGCTGATGCAGCAAAATGTGTTCCCAATTTTGTATTTATTAAATATTTTTGGTCAGTTGTCCTTATATGTGTTTCCTGCAGGCATATTATTTCATTTTTAAATTGTCTCAAATGGTGAAATATTTTCTTCCTTTTTTGTGGTGAGTTTAAACCGTTAACATTCCAGGTTAAAAACCTAGAAGCCATCCTCAGAATCTCGAAGCTTGGCGAGAACCGCTTGATAATCCTCTTGGAATTTTCTTTTAGGTCTCGCCCCTCCCACAGCTTCTACACCAGTATTCACTTCTTGTGATAAAGCCTGCTCTTGTAACTTTTTTAACTCTTTAACTTTACGTTTAGTAGCTGCTCTGGTTTGTCTTTGATCTTTGCCTTCTTCTTGTTTTTCAACTATATCCCATGCTTGGACAGCACTTGAAAGTTGCAGTACTTCCTCCTGGATACTCATAGCTCCGCCTTCCGATTGCTTCTGCAGATCCTCTTTTCTTCCCTCTGTCGCCTCTCTTGCTTTTTTGCCTCCTGGCACTGGTGGTTGTCCAGCCTTTAATATATTACTATAAAAATCTCTTGCTTTGTAAATTGTATTAAGGCGATATCGCTCTCCTGCATAATCCACTGATAATCCGACTGGGACTTCCCATCTGTATTGTACCTGTCGGTTCCTCAGCTCATCTGCCAGAAAAGCATACTCTTTCTTGGATTTCAGCATTTTGGGTGGTATTTCTTTAAATACTGCAACTTCTTGTCCTGCCACTTGCAACTTATTTTTGTAGGCAGCTTGTAAAATCTCATTTCTAATCCTTCTAGTAACAAAATAAATCACAACATCTCTTGGTAATTTCCTTTGTCTAGCTACCCATGAATTAACACGATAGATCCGATCCATTTGCCATTCGAGTTCACCTCTGGACACTCCTATAAATTGTGCCAGAGCATCTTCAAAGATCTCTTTCAAATTTTCCTTCAGATTTTCTTTCAAGCCTCTTATTCTCACGGCAAATTCCATCATCTTATATTGTGTCAACAACATTTCAGCTTCTGCTTTGTCAATCTTGGTTTGTGATTCCTCAACTTTACCATCTAAAATCTCATTAGCTTGAGCAACCTCATCAATTCTATCTTCTACATAACTAACATGTTTTGCCAGTCCCTGGAGTGCAAAGACTATATCTTCCCTTATATGTTGATTTCTTGTCTTAATTATGTCCTTCATTTCTTCCATTTGATCTGAGACTCCTTTAAATGCAAATGCAATGTCCTCTTTAAAACCTTCTTTGATTTCTTTCATGGCTTCCTGAAACATCTCAAGTGTTAACATTTGTGCTTGTGGTTGTAACTGTGGTTGTAATTGAGCTTGTGTATTTGCCGGAGGCAAGAAGGTTTGCAACCTACTAGTTTGAGCTGGGGAACTTCCCGCACTCGCTGCTTTAGGCAACACCAATTTTGTCTGCTTTGAAGCCATTTTAAAATTACACAGTCTCAGGAACAGTTCTTATAGCCAGCGAGAAAAAATCAGAAAATCTTTAAAATCTTTAAATTTTAATTCCCAAAGTCCAGGATATAAGATTAAATCCAAAAAATTTTTAAGCGGAGTTGTTAACTGGTAGGCATTAATGAGTTAACAAGCCTGTAACAACTTTCTTCTTAAGTTTCACTTTCGTCTCTTTGTCTTAACGAGCCAGCGCCATCTTCCCCTCCCTTTCCACTCCAGCTCCGCTCATATAGGCTCGAAAAGAAACGATGTTCAAAGGAATTAAAGTGTAAGTACTTGCAATTATGTAGTCTCCTGTTTTTGTTCTGCCTGCTTCAATTTTCTCTTTGTATCAGTTAAAAGCAGGAGCGGACGTGGCGTTTTGCTCTGCCTTCTGGCAGAGGCGTCCCGGCTTTGGAGCTTTTCCCAGGTTCTTGGGGAGCTCGCACTTTTCGAGCCCCAGAATTAATTCTAGGGCTCTTATGGAGCTCTACCCTGCACCTGGCTGCTCACTTCCCCCTCTTCTCCCGGGGGGGGGAAGGTTCTTCGCCGCTAGACAGCTGATTTTTTGCTGTTCTAGCGGCTAACAAAGTCACGGGGCTAGCGCTCACCCAGGGAGCGTCCTCAACGTCCTACGGAGCCGCTGGAATCGTTTTTGCCCTATCTTATCACCATGGTGAAGAGAAGCAGTTGTGAAATGAGTGACACGGTTGTTAAGAATGCTGCAATAGGCATAAAAGATGACCAGTCATAAGAGCGAAGCCCGGTCAAAAGTGCGAGGACCTGTCAGAAATCACATTTTTCAGCCCTCTGGGTAGTCCTTTTGTGCATATGGACTACTCAGAGGACTGAAAAAGTTATTTTTGACTGGTCCTCGCACTTTTGACCAGTCCTCAAACTTACAACTGTCCTCACATTTTACTTTTTTTGCCCTATCTTATCACCATGGTGAAGAGAAGCAATTGTGAAATGAGTGACATGGTTGTTAAGAATGCTGCATGGGCATAAATGTGAGGATGGTCATAAGTGTGAGGACCAGTCAAAAGTGCGAGGACCTGTCAGAAATGACTTTTTTCAGCCCTCTGGGTAGTCCCTATACACATAGCCATGGCCACCCGATCACATGACCAGCTAGCTACGCCCACCCAGTCACCTGACCCGCCCCCCAGCCACGCCCACAAAATAAACCATGCCCACAGAACCGGTAGTAAAAAATTTTAGAACCCACCCCTGATCGAATCCCTCATAGAGATTGTCAGTTATCTCTGTTAATATTTCCTACTAGTAAACTACCTACGGGAGTATTGGCTCTTTTAGAACAGCAAAAAGTATATTGTATTGAATGGCTTTATTTGCCTCATACACCAATTCAAAATGTTTTGCCTTTTATCCAAGCCATAGCTGAAATTATAACCTTGGGGCGAACTCAAGCTTGTCGAAAAAATGGAACTGATTTAATAAATATTATTCTTCCTATCTCAAAATCTGACTTTCACTTTTATTTTCAGAATAATTTATCTCTTCAGTGTGCTCTAACTGACTACGTTGGTTGTATTTCATATCATCTGCCTAAAGATCCTAGGTTTACTTTTTTAATGACTTCCTCCTTTCCTGTTCGTCCACTGCTTTCTCCTTCTCCACTATCGCAAGCTCTTACTGTTTTTTCTGATGGAGGACGAACGAGAGGAGCAATTGCTTTCAAGGATCCTCATGATGACATCTGGAAAGTATCTTACACTGCAGGGCAATCTTCACCTCAACGTTCAGAATTGTCTGCTGCTATCTTAGCTTTCCACACTTTTTCTCAACAGCCTTTTAATCTGATCTCTGACTCTCAGTATGTGTGTCAATTTATTTTTAATCTTCCAGGTGCTTATATCACACCCAGGATTGACTCCAATTTTATGGCCTTATTTCTCACTTTACAGCAACTGCTACAAGACCGGAAGCATTTGTATTTTGTCTCTCACATACGCAGTCATTCATCCCTTCCCTTATTCTTTTTTCCATCAAAATGCCAGGGGGCTGGCACAAGCTTGCCACATTCCACTAGAGCAGCGGTTCTCAACCTGGGGGTCGCGACCCCTTTGGGGGTCGAACGGCCATTTCCCAGGGGTCGCCAAAGCCCTCTCTCGCCCCCCCCACGCCTTCACTCACCCTCACCCTCTGCCGGATCGCCCGGTCGCCGTTCGCTTACCCTGCCCACTCCCAATCTATTGCTGCCTCCGGAGTCCCAGCTGATGGCTAGAGGGGAAAAAAACTTTAAATTCTTGCTGCGGGGCTTCAAAGAGCCGCCCTACTCTCAACTGTTTTGCGGAGGGCTCTGTTGCTAGCTAGATGCAAAGAGGTAAATTCCTGGAGCAGATTTTTTCCCCCCTAGCTATGCTGAGAAAGGGAAATTGAAAGTAAGCAGGGTCTTGGCTGCAAAGTGACAAAATGAGGCAGAGAGATTTCTTTCTCCTCACCAAAAAAGGTAGGTGCAAACTGCAAACAATGGGAAATTTAGGGCAAGAGGAGGTTCAAGATTTTAAAACAGAAGAAAAAAAGCTCTATTTAACTAGGGAATTGTAATAATTGAGATACTATTAATTGTATATTGTGTTGAAAGCAGAAATGGTTAAGTTGTGGTTTGGAGGAATATATGGGGGAAATTATTTGGTTTATTATTATTGGTAAATATAATTAATTGATTTGTAAGAAATTGGATTGCATGGAAATAATTGGAATATTCATGTTCATATTGATTAATATACAAAAAAGGTAGCTATATAACTAATTGGTTTATATTAAAATGTTGAATTTGTATTAAACAACTGTATTACATAATTAACCAATGTGAGGATGGATATAAAAATAGATGACAATGGGAAGGGGTATAATATAGAATAGAAGGGAAAAATTGAATTTGATTAAGATTAGAGATGAGGATGAAGAGTAATATTGGTTTTTTAAAAAATAGATGAGGAATAAATATGGTAAAAAGGAAATATAAAAATTGTAAATTTAATTGAAATGACTAAATACTGTGTTGGAAGAAATATCCTTCTGGGTTCTGCTCCAAGTGGGGAAAAAGACACTGGAAACATGGAGACTGCTTGGAAAGATGGTTTAATGGTGGACAGGATCACATGGCTTGATGGGGCCCATTGTGTTAGTTTCTGTTGCTATTGTGTTGCAAATGTCCTTTGACAAAGGATTGAGTTTCTGCCTCTGGCCCATTAACAAAGGGTGGGGGGCAGGAAGGTGGGAGTTGCTTTGTCTGTAAAATATGCTTCTCCATTTCTCATCCAGGTAGGGAAATATAATATTCTGCCTTTTTAATATTTCCCAAAATATTTCATTCTTCTAGGAAAGGGGTGGATGCTAACCTCCTACAACTGTTTAAATTTGTGAACCGGCCAAATACTCTGTTCAAAGAAAATACGTTGTATGTTTGTATGTGTGTTTCTAATTATTGCTATTTATTGCTATTTGTTCTCTTTTATTCTTTAAAGTTTAACAATTCATTCTTTATCTTAATATCTTAATATTTGTTTGGGGTTGGCTTTCTTCCCTTTCATCTTTTTTATTGTACAGCAATCTTTCTCCTCAAACCTACCACCTCTCTCTTTTCTTTTCTTCTTACTTTCTCTTCCTCCCCTTCTTCTTCTCCTCCCTACTTCCTCTTCCTTTCTCCTTCTCCTCCTCTCTTCCTCCCTCTCTTACCCTCACTCCTACTCTAATTTCCCTTCCCTTCCTTCATCCCTCTCTATTGCTGTATCCTTTTATGCATATGGACTACTCAAAGGGCTGAAAAAGTTATTTTTGACTGGTCCTCGCACTTTTGACCAGTCCTCGAATTTACGACTGTCCTCACATTTTACGTTTTTTGCCCTATCTTATACCATGTTGAAGAGAAGCAGTTGTGAAATGAGTGACATGGTTGTTAAGAATGCTGCACAGGCATAAATGTGAGGATGGTCATAAGTGTGAGGACCAGTCAAAAGTGTGAGGACCTGTCAGAAATGACTTTTTTCAGCCCTCTGAGTAGTCCCTATACATATAGCCATGGCCACCCGGTCACATGACCAGCTAGCCACGCCCACCCAGTCACATGACCTCCAAGCCACACCCACAAAATAAGCCACGCCCACAGAACCGGTAGTAAAAAAATTTAGAACCCACCCCTGGTTGGGGGTCACCACAACATGAGGAACTGTATTAAAGGGTCGCGGCATTAGGAAGGTTGAGAACCACTGCACTAGAGCAAGCTAAGCAAATTGTTTCATCCTGTCCCCAATGTTCTGGGGCATCCCCTTCAGGGGACATGGAAGTCAATTCCCGTGGTCTAACCTCTAATCAATTATGGCAAATGGATGTTACCCATGTTCCTTCTTTGGCTCCTTGGAAATATATTCATTTAGCTATTGATACCTATTCTGGAGCGATTTGGGCTACCCCTCAACAAGGGGAAACAGCTAATCATGTTATTTCTCATCTTTTTTCGGCCATTACAGCTCTGGGCAAGCCCTCTTCTTTAAAAACAGATAATGGGCCTGCCTATTCTTCACAGGCTTTTTTGCAATTTTGTTCAACCTGGAACATTGTTGTTACTCATTGTTGTTACCCTATAATTCCACAGGTCAAGCTATTGTGGAACGTGCTAATAGGTCCTTTAAGAACTGCCTTCACAAACAAATAAAAAAGGAGGGCTCTCTGATACCAAATTTGTCATGGGTAACACAACAAGTTACAAAAGTTTTATTTACTTTGAATCAACTGAATTTTTCAATTTCTAATTCGACCGCTTATCAGAGGCATTTTCAAGAAAAAACAAGTTTGCCTCCTCCTCTGGTATATTATAGAGCATTACCAGACAAAACATGGTTAGGACCGGTCCCTCTGATTACTTGGGAGCGTGGCTATGCTGCTGTGCTTACTTCTACAGGACCTTTGTGGGTTACAGCACATTATGTTCGCCCATCTAAGGATGTTGTGGCACCAACTCCTGAACCCTATCCCAGAGATGGCAAAGCTGACTCTACAGACAGCACAGTGACCAACCAGATCCCGTCGTGCCAGTCATCCGGTGACATGGGGAGATGTGAAGAATTTGACCACTAAAGCGCAGGAAGTGCTGCAGCAGCAGCAACATGTAGAACAAACACCCGAGAATTTATGCACTGCCATTTTTGTGGATTTAACTGCCAATTCCTTACTCATAATTTGTTTGTGCTTGATTGTTAATAACTGTACTTTGGCAACAGCAGCTGTCATCCCACCTAAACATTCTCTTGAACAACGGATAAAACAAAATCTATGGGTGCAGCTTGCAAACATCAGAAAAACTGATGCCTTTTGTTTGTCTGAAACTTATGATATGCAAAATTTGCTTTCTACATGTTTAATCCCTGTTTGTATCCCTACTACTGTAATTCAGAACCTTACTGGCTTGGGTAGGTATTGTTAGAAGGGCACTATAACTATAAGACTATAGCTAGTTGGTGGGTAGCTGCATATTATCCACCTCCTAACGCAATTGATTTGCATACTCCAGTGGTGGCGGTCCCTGAAAATGTAACCTGTAAAAATGGTTAATTGTACTTCTTCAAGCAAAAATCCTCACTGTCTTCACATTAGTTCACCTGTTTTAAACTGTACAGCTTTTGAAGAGGCTTCCTTTAATTTTGCTCATGTTTGGCTACCGCAAGAGTGGTTTTTTACATGTGGTCAAAAAAACTTTAATTATATTCCTGCTAATATTAGTGAAGCACAGTGTTGTCTTAGCCGGTTGATTCCTGTTTTGCTTTCTAAACAACTTCACTCGAGCCGTATTCAGCATGGGGTCACCCTAGATGACACTTGTGACTCTGAAATAGCTTTACTTAATCAAGCAGAATACATAGCATTGGCTGTATCTATGGTGGGTGTGCTAGCACTTGCTGCGTGTGCTCATCTGAATCTTAATGCTATTGTGTGTAATCTAGCAAAAACCATTAATGCCACTTCTTTAGCAATTTCAGCAATCAATCATGAGCTGCAAGCTTTTAGAAAAGCTATTCTTCAAAATCGCGCTGCTGTTGATTATTTGCTTCTATGCCAGCATTTGGGTTGTGAAAGTTTTGAAGGACTTTGTTGCTTTAACATTTCAGATGAGTCACGGAACATTCAGCATCAACTTAACATTTTACATAATTTGGCCTCTGATTTAAAAATTGATACTTTAGGATCTTGGTGGGAAAGCCTTTGGTCTTGGTTACCTACAGGCTTATTGGGAAACATCCTATGTTATTCAGTCATCATTTGTGCTATTTTGATTGGCGGGTGCTGTTTTGTTCAGTGGCTTCCCTCTTTTTGTAACATATGTCTTACTACATTTTGCCCCAAACCCCCTCTTACGCTGCCTCAGGGTCAGGTTTATACCTTGTATAAGCAACTGCAGGGATATTCCTCTCCTGATTATGATTACAATGTCCTGACAAACAAAACAAAACAGAGTGGAATGTAGAGGTAGGTCAAAGGTCGTAGTGCCAGGCTAAGAGCAGCACACTGCCTTAACTCATGCCTATGATCTCATTTTGGCTTTGATCTGTTTTATATCACCTTGTTCTGTCCCCAACCCCACGCACACACACCAACAGACGTTCAGGAGTTAAAGACCAAACCAGCCGGCAAAATCCTTTTCCTTATGATAACGGAACTTGGCAACAACCTAGTGGCTGCCTGCCAAGAGTTTATTTACAAAGAGGAGAGATAACTTCTCCCCACTTCTGATACATCAAAGGAAAGCAGCTCAATAATTACAATCAAGTCCAGAGATAATCCTGTCAAGTCTTAAAGCAAAAGTCCGGCAATGCAGAATGCCGTGGAAGCTTTCAGCTTTGTTCGTCACAAGGTTTGACTGGCCATCACGCTCCCTTTTATATCCTGTGGGGTGTGGTCCAGTGAATCAGCCTAATCTCGGGCACGCCTTTTCTTCTCTTGTGCGTGCTTATCTCTGCGACGCTGGCGTGGGTCCAGCCAAGACTCATTACCCTCATCACTGTCCATCTGTGGCTGCATGTACATACCTGGCCCTGGCCCTATCTCTTGCCCTTCGGCGGACACCGAAGGCATTGCCAGAGAGGAGGGTCCTGGAGAGGGAGGCCTTGCCAACTCCTCCCCCTCACTCTTGGAGTCCTCTCCTGACGATGACACAGGCTCCGGTAACGGAGCCACAACACACCTTGCCTTGAGAGGATGGCATCTTGAGAGGGGGGTGAATAGTTTCTACCAATTAGAACACTGTTGCTTCCTATCTTTTTGTCTGCCTGTAAAAACTGTATAAAAAATGAAGCTCTCTGCGAGAGCGGGAGATACATCTTTGATCAGAGCAAGTGACTGGACATTGATTTACTACAAGGAAGGAAGGAAGGAAGGAAAGAAGGATTATAATAAGAGGGAGTCAGATTCTGAGGGAAGTCCTACCTTAGCACTTGGCCACCAGCTGTCCGTCTACCCTTTCGCTATCCTCTTGTCCCCTCCTCCTGACCTCTCCTGGTAGTCTCCCATTCTATTGCTGAGGATGCTTTAGTTACAAAGCTGGGGCTCCTCGCATAGAGAAGGAGTGCCCCTCCCTCTGACACAATCACTTTGCCCTTCTGGATACAGCATGAGCAACGTGCCCAAGGACAGTGAGCATAGCAGCAGCCTTGAGGAGGTGGTAAGCGCAGCCGGGCACCCACTGGGGGAAACAGGGCTGAGCTGTGGGGTCCTCGTACAATGGGTGCTTGAGGGCCAGGCTGAGTACTTACACTACTAGGGCACTGGGCAGTCTGCACTCCCTGACCCTGAGAGGGATGGAGAGAACAAGGGTTTTGGCACTTACCATTGTCTCACCTTCTTCTGCTCGAGACAATGGATCCCCCCAGACCAGCCTGGGCCACCACAGGCGCCCCATGACACAAGAGATGTTGTGCTGGCCATATGACATTACCCCTCCACGCCCACCCACAAGATCAACCACAATCCTGATGCAGCCCTCAATCAAATAGTTTGACTCTGCTGGTCTGGACACTCATATGGTTTCTCTCCTGTGTGAGTCCTCTGGTGGTTCACCAGGGTAGAACGGTAACTGAAACATATCCCACAATCTGGACATTTGTATTGGTTCCCTCTTGTGTGTGTCCTCTGGTGTATCAGCAGGCTGGAATTCTGACTGAAACTTTTCCCACAATCAGGACATTCAAAAGGTTTTTCTCCTGTGTGACTCCTCTGGTGGCCCACCAAATGGGAATGCCGACTGAAACTTCTCCCACAATCATTACATTCAAAGGGTTTCTCTCCTGTGTGAGTCCTCTGGTGGTTCACCAGGTGGGAATTCCGACTGAAACTTCTCCCACAATCAGGACATTCAAAGGGTTTCTCTCCTGTGTGAGTCCTCTGGTGGTTCACCAGGCTGGAATTGTGACTGAAACTTTTCCCACACTCAGGACATTCAAAGGGTTTCTCTCCTGTGTGAGTGCTCTGATGGATCACCAGGCTGGAATTGTGACTGAAGCTTTTCCCACACTCAGGACATTCAAAGGGTTTCTCTCCTGTGTGAATCCTCTGGTGTATCAACAGGTAGTAATTCTGACTGAAACATTTCCCACACTCAGGACATTCAAAGGGTTTCACTCCTGTGTGAATTCTCTGGTGTATCACCAGGTAGGAATTCTGACTGAAACATTTCCCACAATCAGGACATTCAAAGGGTTTCATTCCTATGTGAGTCCTCTGGTGTTTCACCAGGTAGGAATTCTGATTGAAACTTTTCCCACAATCTGAACACTCATATGGTTTCTCTCCTGTGTGAGTCCTCTGGTGGCTCACCAGATTGCAGTTCTGACTGAAATTTTTCCCACAATCTGGACACTCATATGGTTTCTCTCCTGTGTGAGTCCTCTGGTGGCTCACCAGGTTAGAACGGTAACTGAAACTTTTCCCACAATCTGGACACTTGTGTGGTTTGTCTCCTGTGTGAGTCTTTTGGTGTTTCACCAGACAGGAATTGAGACTGAAGTTTTTCCCACAATCAGGACATTCAAAAGGTTTTTTTCCTGTGTGAGTTCTCTGGTGTGTCACCAAAGAGGATTTCTGACTGAAACATTTCACACACTCTGGACACTTGTACGGTTTGTCCCTTGTGTGAATCCTCTGGTGGTTCATCAGGTTAAAATGGTAACGGAAATGTTTCCCACAATCTGGACACTCAAACGGTTTCTTTCCTGGGTGAGTCCTCTGGTGGTTCTCCAGGCTGGAATTGAGACTGAAATTTTTCCCACAATGTGGACATTGAAAAGGTTTTTCAGGATATTGAAAAGGTTTTTTAGGACATTTGAAGGGTTTCTCTTCTGTGTGAGAGCTCTGGTTTATCACCAGATGGGAATTTGCAATGAAACTTTCCCCACAATCAGGACATTCAAAGGGTTTTTCGCCTGTGTGAGTCCTCTGGTGGATAATGAGGTGGGAATTCTGACTGAAATTTTTCCCACAAACAGGACATTCAAAGGGTTTCTCTCCTGTGTGAGTCCTCTGGTGTGTCACCAAGGAGGATTTCTGACTGAAACTTTTCCCACAATCAGGACATTCAAAGGGTTTCTCTCTTGTGTGAGTCCTCTGGTGTATCACTAGGTGGGAATTCTGACTGAAACTTTTCCCACAATCAGGACATTCAAAGGGTTTCTCTCCTGTGTGAGTCCTCTGGTGTATCACTAGGTGGGAATTCCGACTGAAACTTCTCCCACAATCAGGACATGTAAAGGGTTTCTCTCCTGTGTGAGTCCTCTGGTGTATCACTAGGTGGGAATTCTTACGAAAACTTTTCCCACAATCAGGACATTCAAAGGGTTTCTCTCCTGTGTGAATCCTCTGGTGTATCACTAGGTGGGAATTCTGACTGAAACTTTTCCCACACTCAGGACATTCAAAGGGTTTCTCTCCTGTGTGAGTCCTCTGGTGTATCACCAGGTGGGAATTTGTTGTGAAACTTTTCCCACAATCTGGACACTCATATGGTTTCTCCCTGGTATGAATCCTCTGATGTATCACAAAGTTGCCATGCTTGCAAAAGCATTTACCACATTGGGAGCAGTTGTAGGGCATCTCTACTATGAGGATCCTTCTATGAATCGCAAGGGAGCTATTCTGACTAAAGTTTTGCCACATTCAGAGTATTTATATGGCTTTTGTTCAGTGTGGATCCTCTTGTGATTTGAACTCTTTACTTTTCCCACAATAGGCACATCTATGGAGCTTTTCCATCACTGACATTCTTGAGGAGGTCAAAAATATGTGTGATTCCTTATTTTGTTGGTGCCTGCATTACTGGCTGCCATATGTTACTATCCAATTGACATTTTCTTCCCCACTGGCTTCCAGATATTTCCCCCTTTTTCTGAACGGAAAAATGATCTCCTTTGACCTTTTCAAGTAACGTATTCTTAAATTCTATATAATCTACTTTTTCCAGCTGCAAATCTCTTCATGATTTTCTCTTTTCTGTCTCTTTCCTGCTGATGAAGTAGTTGAATTCTGCAGCTTTCTGAAGGAAACAGAACATATTTTTATTTCTGCTTCAATTTGCTTTGCTTTTCAGTGTTCCTTGTTATTCTCAGTTGTCCAGTGTGCTTATGTTGGCATCATCTTTGTCTGTAAGATTCAAAAGAAAGTGTAAGTTTTATTGTTTATGAAAGGGTTGCAGAAGATCTGAAAAAAAGAAGTACAGGTAATCCTTTAGGTACGACAGGCCATTCAACGAATTTCTGAAGTTACAACACTCCCCCAAATGCTAAATACGAATCTGCTCCAAAGTTGAATTTTTGCAGCGCCTCCCACCCCGAGGTCCTTGACTCCTTCACTGCAGAGATGCTGCAGCATACCCACCCACCTATTTCCCTTCCATCTTGCCCAGTCAGTCCTCACAATCCCCAGACCCCAGTATGTTGGCCTCCTTTGCAATATACTATGCATTCCTCCCAACCCCACTCCCTCATCACCATTCACTTACGAAATTTCTGACGAGCTCAGGAAGTCAGCTGGGCCACATGGTGTAATCAAGAAGAAGAAATATAAACTCTTTTCTTTCCATGGCAATCCTTTCACTCCAGCCAGCATAAATCGTTAGAGATTTACCCTGGCTGAGGAGGAAAGGATTGCCATGGAAGCAAAAGAGATGAGATTTCTTCTTTCCTCTACCAGCGCAAGACTAATGTCAAGCTAGTGCTAGCAGGGCTAAGAAGAAATCAGGCCTATTTTGCTTCCGTTGCAATCCTTTTCTTTCCAATCAGCATAAACTACTATGATTTCTCCACCGGCACTAGTTTTATGCTGGTGAAGAGATCTAAAAAGATATTGTCATGGTTAACCCTGGCTGAGGAGGAAAGGAATGCCATGGAAACAAGAGATCAGATGTCTTCTTTGCTCAATCAGGGCTCGCTTTACACTAGTCTTAGGCTGATAGAGCAAAGAAGAAATTCCATCTCTTTTGTTTCATGCCAATGATCCCAAGCTCACCAGCAAATCTACCACAGAATGGCTGAAAAAGAAAAGAATCAAGGTGTTGCAATAGCAAAGTCCAGACTTCACCCCAATTGAAATGCTGTGGTGGGACCTCTACAGAGCTGGGCATAAACAAATGCCCACAAACCTCAATGAACTGAAACAATGTTGTAAAGAAGAGTGGGCCAAAATTCCTCCACAACACTGCAAGAGACCATAGACGAATTCAAATCACCAGGACCAGATGGATTACACCCCAAGATTCTGAAGGAACTGGCAGACAAGATTTTAGAACCATTGAACTATATCTTTCAAAGATCCTGGAGCACAGGGGATCCTGCCAGAGGACTGGAAAAAAGCTGATGTAGTTCCCATCTTCAAAAAAGGGGGAAAAAACAGATCCAGGAAACCACAGACCTATCAGCCTGATCTCAATACCAGGGAAGATTCTAGAAAAGATAATCAAGCAACGAATCACCAAACACCTAGAAGCAAACAAAGTAATAACCAAAAGCCAACATGGATTTGTCAAAAACAGATCATGCCAGACTAATCTTATTTCATTCTTTAATAAAGTGACAAAATTACTGGACCAGAGGAATGCTGTCGATATAATTTACTTGGACTTCAGTAAAGCATTTGATAAAGTAGACCATAACCTAATACTAGATAAAGTAGAAAAATGTGTGTTAGACAGCATCACCACCAGATGGATTCGTAAGTGGCTGACCAATCACACTCAATGTGTAATCCTCAATGGAACTGCATCTACATGGAGGGAAGTATGCAGTGGAGTACTCTGTTTTAGGCCCAGTACTCTTCAACATCTTCATCAATGACTTGGGCGAGGGGATAGATGGGGAAATCATCAAATTTGCAGATGACACCAGGCTGGCAGGAATAGCCAACACTCCAGAAGATAGGCTCAAGATACAGAAGGATCTTGACAGACTTGAACATTGAGCGCTTTCTAACAAAATGAAATTCAACAGTGAAAGAAGTAAGGTTCTACATTTAGACAAGAAAAACAAAATGTACAGGTACCATACATGTGGTACCTTGCTCAATAGTAGTAACTGTGAGAGGGATCTTGCAGTCCTAGTGGACAACCATTTAGATATGAGCCAGCAGTGTGCAGCAGCTGCCAAAAAAGCCAACACAGTTGTGGGCTGCATAAACAGAGGGATAGAATCAAGATCACATGAAGTGTTAACACCACTTTATAATGCCTTGGTAAGGCCACACCTGGAATACTGCATTCAGTTTTGGTTGCCACGATGTAAAAAAGATGTTGAGACTCTAGAAAGAGTGCAGAGAAGAGCAACAAAGATGATCAGGGGACTGGAGGCTAAAACATATGAAGAACGGTTGCAGGATCTGTTTATCTGTTTGGGACTGGGATCTGTGTCACTAAGCAGCCCGATCATAAAGCATGATGTCACATGACTGCCAACTTACATCTGTTCCACTGCAGTTGTTAAGCAAACCACTGTGGGTTGTTAAAGGCCATTTCACATGACTGTTACTTGCAATTTCCTGTCGGCATCCTCACTTACTTTCCCTATGAGAAACTAGCTGGGAAGGTCAAAAATGGGGATCATGATGGTGGGATGTTGCGACCATCATAAATGTGCCCCGGTTACAGATACGGTTAGAGGAAATGTTACATAAACCAACAGAATTAAAACCAGAGATTTTTCTATTGGGTATTTTGCCAGAAAGATATAGCAAAGAAGAAGCATACTTAATTATATATTTAATAACAGCAGCAAGAATTGTATATTCACAAAATTGGAAGACAGAGAAAATTCCGTCAGAAGGTGAAGTAATAAAAAAGATTTTAGACTGTGCGGAAATGACCAGATTGATGCTAAGAATAAAAGATAAAAAGGAATTGGAGTATTTCAAGACATGGGAAAGATTCTACGTATGGATAGAAAGGAAATATGAATAAAAGTTGATAGATAAATGATATAGATAATAAAAAGTTAAATGAGGGATAAGATAAAAAAGAAATAGAAACTCAGATGACACCAGAGTAAATGGAAAAGGGGGATGGGGGGGAGAAAGAAGATTATAAATATAAATCTACAATTCTGAAATAATAGATTGGGTAAAATGGGAAAGAAATTGAAAAGCAAGTATAGATTATTAGAATATTGCAGTTGCTCAGATACCAAATAAGAGAAATATTGCACAACAAAGGAGAAAGGAAGGAAAGAGGAGGAGAGGGAGAGGAGGAGAGGGAGAGAGAGGAATGGAAGAAAGGGGAAGGAGAGGAAGAAAGGATAGGGAACAAGAGCAGGAGAGAAGGTGAGAAAGGGGGAAAAGAGGGGAGGAGTGGGGGAGAGGAAGGGGAAGTAGGGAGGAGAGGAGAGGAAGAGGAAGAGGAAGAAAGCAGAAGAAGAGAGGAGGGAGGGAGGGGAAAGAAAGAAAGAAGGTTTGTTGTGAAAAGAGGGAAAAGAGAGGGTAGAAGAGCAACCACAAATGTGATTAAAATCTTATTTTTATGCTTTCATTAGAAAAAAATACATATATATATATACACATATATATATATATATACACATATATATATATATATATATATACATATATATATATATATATATATACATATATATATATATATATACACACACACACACACACACACACACACACACACACACACACACACATATATATATATATATATATATATATATATATATATATATATATATATATATATATATATATATATATATATATATATATATATATATATGATCCATTATGGATAAGAGAATGTACATTTACAATATCTGTGTAAGGAATAAAAATAAAAAACTTTTTTCAAAATAAATAAATAAATGTGCATCGGTTGGCAGCATCCAAACCAAATAGCCCAACTTGCTTCTGGCCTCTCCTCCAACTTGCCCTCAACTCACCTTCCAGCTGATGCTTCAACTTTTGGAAGAGCACAAAAGCCGCTCTGCAAGCCACCTTCCACCCATGAGGGATCCGGTACAGGAAGTTACTCTGGGCTTTTCTTCTTCCTCAATCCTTTCTAGCAATACAGTACTTGATGGTTTTAACTCCTTTAAGGATCAACCACAGATGCAGCTACTCTATTGACGGCTTTGTAGGCACAGAAGTGACCGCCATCTCCTGACAGGAGGCGAAAAAACACGCTTGTCCCGTCTCTGCCTAAGGCGTTTGCAAGATGTTGTCACTGATTATATGCTATCAAGTTGTTTTAGACTCCCAGCAACCTATCTTTGCAACCGAGCCAAGTAAAAGAGTGAAATGTGAAGCTACTTAAGCTTCTGAAGATCAGCTACATGCTGAGCCCTAAATGTTCATGAAGTTCTTACAGAATTACAGAGAAAGAGATGGAAGGGACCAACTCTCCAAGCAGGAGAACCTATATCATCCCAGTCAAATGGCTCTCCAGTCTCCTCTTAAAAGCCTCCACTGATGGAACAACCACAGATTGCAGAGGCAATTTGTTCCACTGATCAATTGTTCTCACTGACAATTTCTTCTTAATTCTAGGTTGGATTTTTAAAAAAAATAATTCTCCCTCTGTTACTTTTTGTCCTACTTTCAGGCACTTTGGGTAAGGTGACCAGATTTTAACATTGGTAAAGAGGGACACCATTGTGGGTGTGGCTTATTTTGTGGGCGTGGCTTGGAGGTCATGTGACTGGGTTGGCGTGGCTAGCTGGTCATGTGACCAGGTGGCCATGGCTATGTGTATAGGGACTACTCAGAGGGGTGAAAAAAGTCATTTCTGACAGGTCCTCGCACTTTTGACTGGTCCTCACACTTATGACCACCCTCACATTTATGCCCGTGCAGCATTCTTAACAACCATGTCACTCATTTCACAACTGCTTCCCCTTCACCATGGTGATAAGATAGGGCAAAAAACATAAAATGTGAGGACAGTCGTAAGTTCGAGGTCTGGTCAAAAGTGTGAGGACCAGTCAAAAATAACTTTTTCAGCCCTCTGAGTAGTCCATATGCATAAAAGGATACAGCAATAGAGAGGGATGAAGGAAGGGAAGGGAAATTAGAGTAGGAGTGAGGGTAAGAGAGAGAGGAAGAGAGGAGAAGGAGAAAGGAAGAGGAAGTAGGTAGGAGAAGAAGAGGGTGGGGGGAAGAGAAAGTAAGAAGGAAAGAAAAGAGAGAGGTGGTAGGTTTGAGGAGAAAGATTGCTGTACAATAAAAAAGATGAAAGGGAAGAAAGCCAACCCCAAACAAATATAAAGATATTAAGATAAAGAATGAATTGTTAAACTTTAAAGAATAAAAGAGAACAAATATGAATAAATAGCAATAATTAGAAACACACATAAAAACATACAATGTATTTTCTTTGAACAGAATATTTGGCTGATTCACAAATTTAAACAGTGTTTAGTCACTTCAATTAAATTTACAATTTCTATATTTCCTTTTTGCCGTATTTATTCCTCATCTATTTTTTAAAAAAAACAATATTAGCCTTCATCCTCATCTCTAATCTTAATCAAATTCAATTTTTCCCTTCTATTCTATATTATACCCCTTCCCATTGTCATCTATTTTATATCACATTGGTTAATTATGTAATTATGTAATACAGTTGTTTAATACAAATTCAACATTTTAATATAAATCAATTAGTTATATAACTATCTTTTTTGTATATTAATCAATATGAACATGAATATTCCAATTATTTCCATGTAATCCAATTTCTTACAAATCAATTAATTATATTTATCAATAATAATAAACCAAATAATTTCCCCCATATATTCCTCCAAACCACAACTTAACCATTTCTGCTTTCAACACAATATACAATTAAGGTCATTTTCTTCTAGTTTAATTGAAGGTAATAACTGCAACAACCAAGAAAAAAACAACCAAGAAAAAAATGGAGCTTCCAGACTCAGGAACTGCATCCAGGTAGTCCTCGACTGACAACAATTCATGAATGACCGAAGTTACAACTGCACTGAAAAAAGTGACTTACCACCGTTTTTCACACCTACAACCATTACAGCATCCCCAAGGTCATGGGATCAAAATTCAGATGCTTGGCAACTGACTCATATTTATGGTGGTTGCAGTGTCCCAGTGTCATCCCCGTTTGTGACCTTCTGACACGCAAAGTCAACAGGAAAGCCAGATTCACTTAACCAGGTTACTAACTTAACCACTGCAATGATTCACTTAACCACTGTGGCAAGAAAGGTCATAAAATGGGGGGGGGATGACACTCACTTTACAAAAGTTTCACTTGGCAACATAATTTTTGGGCTCAAGTGTTTTCGCAAGTCCAAGACTATCTGTTATCTCCCAAGAACAATTTCACGAGTGGGAAAATAGATTTCTCTTTTAAAAGCTGCATTCTGACCATTTGTGCTTGTCATGAATAAATGCCTTGCCTCTGATCCAGATCCAGAAGCAGGGGGGCTGGGCAAGCCAACCCCCAAGGTCCACCCTAACCCAATGACCCCTCCTTACCTTAGCCACGCCCCAGGGGTACTTAAGGGTCGGCCATGCGGTCCTGCCTCAGTTCCAGACTTGTACCTGTAACGATAAGATGCTTAATTAATAAACAATACTTGATACACTAAGAATTTGTCTATGGAGTTATTGGGCACGATCCTCGAACATATCTAATAAAATGGTAGCAGAGGATGGTTGGATAGCCCAATCCTGATACTCCACGACATGCAAGGGACCACAACAGACAGGGTGAATACCAGAGCATTCACCAAGAAGATGGCAGGACGATCTGCCCAACCCGAAACCACGCAAGGAGAGGCACCCGAGACGAGCGGCCTACTCCACCACCCATCCACCCCGGCCAGGAGCAACGAGGAGTGGACGAAACACGAAACCTCAAAGGAAGAGATGCACGACCTAAAAGGAAAACTCCTCGAACTGATAGATTCGTCGCAAAGCAACAGCGGCCTCATCGCGGAACTCCGAAGCCTGATCAAAGACTCCGAAGCAGCGAGTGAGGAAGATGAAGACGAATCCGACTACAGCGAAGGAGACCCGGTAAGGGAAGATTTCCCCCACCAAAAACTTACCGCAAAGGCCGAAGGAGACTTCGCGCCCTTTTCACGGCGGCCATCTTGGGAGACGGCGTCATCAAAGATGGCCGACCATCCACCAATAGACTCCCAGGATTTAAATCCTATGGCGGGAATCGGGGCCTACTCTAAAACTACCGACCAAAAATACTACAAAAAACACAAAGGCCCAAAAACCAAACCTACAAGCTCGCCAACCGAGCCCGAAGTCAACAAGGCCATCGAACTAATCGCCGCGGCCCTAGGGGACAAGGTAAAAATACCGGCCGTACATCCCGGCGCCAGGCCGAAAAATAAAAGGGACCCCAACGCGACGAGGGCCGGCACCGGCACCCACCCTGGGAAGGATGCCACCATCGCGTGGACCCAGTACCACCCAGAGCCCCTAAGAGGTCCACCCACTAAAGCCGGAAGCCAAGGGCGATGGGACTACTCACCAGACCGACGACCGGGACCAGACCCGTGGATCGCGAGGCCATCCGCAGGCAGAGGACGTCCATCGGCGGGCAGGGGGATCGGCCCGGCACCCGCAGGCGACATCCGCGCGAGACCGGGCCAACCGGGACCATTCGCGGCCCCAACGGGACTCCCAACGTCCACCGGCGATCCTCACCGCTTTCCGAGGCTCCAGGCGACGATCCGCGACGATCCCGAGCAGGCAAGGCCAACCGGAGAGGAGCTGAAGGCCCATCCGGAAGATTGGGGCCTTCATCCGGGAGCAGCATGGACGAGCTCCTCACTCCACGACGACTGGGGAGAAATGAACCTCACGCATGCGCAGCACGCCCCTGTAAGAAAAACGGAACAGAACATAGAGCTACACCGACGCAGACACGTAGATACAAGTCAGTTCAGACTTGCCACAGTCGTTCCTCTGCCATATTGCGAGTATCCTTATGTGAGGAACCATGGACAGCGACATAATGTGAGTAATTTAACTTACAATTCAGGGACTTTACCCAGTGATTTTCCAAAACTGAGGCTAGATGGGGAGAATTTCCTGGACTGGAATCAGCAGCTCCAGGGCACTCTGCTTAAGGAAGACCTGCTATCCATGGTTACAGACCCCCCAGAAAAACCCTGGACTTTTGAATTGGATTGCATCCATCACAAAGCTTACTGTATTGTCATTGCCAGCATTACACCCAGCATTTACCCCAGTATTGGCCACCACCTGACTGCATTAGAGATAATACAGAGAATGCACAAACTGTTTTACTGCCAAAGCGTTGCCAGCACCACCAGGCTGTCTAGGGAGTTTTATGCCACTAAACTCAAGGCAGGGACACCCATGAGCGAGCATTTACTATCACTAAATAATACTAGGGCCCAGCTGACACAAAGGGGGGAGGTCATAAGCGAGAGGACCATGATAAGTATCATAGTAAATTCCCTAGATCCCAGTTGGGACACCTTTGTTACACAGATAGACAATCTAGGGACAGGGAGGCTCTCACTTGAATTACTAACAAGTAAACTAATATCAGAGGATTGCATTAGAAGGGAACGCTCCCTAAGCCGCAGGGAGCAAAGACCCAGCAGAAAGATTGAGCCACAGAGCAGGAGCCAGAGCAACACAGAGTGCTATATATGTGGGTCAAAAAACCATTACAAGAGGGACTGCCCTAAAAATACAGGGGACAGGATACATAGGAGAGATAGACCAGAACAAAGGACAAGACACACTAGCGGACGCTCGCCAGAGGTCAGGCACAGGCGTAGGGATTCACCTAGCCCTAGAGACAGGAGAGACCACAGGGACAGTTCCAGGGAGAGTCACACTGGATCACTATACGGCATAGGGGATCAAGCACAACACGTAGGCCAAGACAGGGAGGAAGGCACATGGCTGCTGGACTCAGGAGCCACAAACCACACCACACATGATCGCAACCTACTAACCTCTTTCACAGGGGAAAGTTTTGTAGTGAAAGTGGCTAACCAGAATAACGTACAAGTAACAGGCAAAGGTAATGCATACGTACCAGGAATAGGTATGGTACGGGGAGTACTCCTAGTACCAAATATACCATATAATATCCTTGCCACCCTAAAACTAAGCAAGGATAACAATGTCGAGGTGACTTTCAAAGAAGGAAAGGCACAGGTGACCAGAGGGGGTAAAGGGATAGGGAAAGTAGTAGTCAGTGGGGAACTACCATTCTTCCACCCAACCAAGAGCACACAGCCAGAAGTGAACAACCACCGAGGGGTTAACTCCAATAACACAGGCAACGCAAGCAAGGAGGTAGAGGGGGTTGAGCACACACACACCACCGATGAGCCCAATGAACAGGGGACACCCAGGAAGGAGAAACCAATGATAGGGAAACCAATGCATGACAACTGTGCCCACCTATTACACAGGAAACTAGGACACATTAGTTTCCCCGTAGTACAGAAAATGTTGGAATGCTCTGAAGGTGTAAAAATAAAGGATTGTGAGAACTATCTCGAGTGTTCTATTTGTAAGGGCTCCAAATTAAAAACCAAACCAAGGCCCAAGAAGTCAGTACGCACAACTAATTCGGTTTTCCAACTTGTACATATGGATCTAGTGGGACCACTAAGGCCTTCCATTAAGTACAGGAAGAGGTACTTCCTGACCATAGTGGATGACTTCAGCCGCTATGGCTTCGTGTACACTCTAAAACACAAAAATGAAGTTTTTCAAAAATTTAAGGAATTCTATGCGAGGGTGGAGACACAACACAACACCAAAATCAGGCAAATAATGACAGACCGGGGGTCTGAATTCTTATCAAGCGACTTCTCGCGATGGTTAAAAGCACGCGGGATGGTCCACTACACGACTTCTCCTTTTTCCGCTTTTCAAAATGGCGTGGCGGAACGAAAAAACGGAACGCTACAGACCATGATGAGGTGCGCACTAGACGATGCCGGCCTAGGGCAGCATTTCTGGTCCGAAGCACTCATTTATTCGAATTATACCCTAAATAGACTGTGGTCCAGCGTACTAAATAAAACCCCATATGAATTAATGTACCAAAGGAAACCACAAGTGTCACACTTACACATATTCGGGGTCACTGCAGATGTGCACATACCCAAGCAACTCAGGCGTAAGGGGGACAGGGTATCCAGGAGGTTGAGGTTCATGGGCTATGAACCGGGAACAAAAGGATACAGGTTCATAGACAGCAGCAACAATTTCGTGATATCACGAACAGCTGTTTTCCACGAAAACGCTAACTGGTCCAAAATACACCTCAACGAGGTGTCCCTTAACAAGGACGGACCAGGGGATGATCAAAAGGAAATGAAACACCAAGCAGAGAGTGACACTGAACACAGAAAGAACAAACCCAGAGGACAGGAAATACCAGTGAAGGGATGGAAGGAAAACCACCCGCTCATTAAAGTAGACGCACTCACCGAGAGGGAAGCTAGGTACATGCACGACACAGAGACACCTCCTGACAGACCAGTCAGGACAAACAGGGGCAAAAGGCCAGAAAGGTTAGGGGACTACATATTATCTCTACATAATAACCAACTAACCCCCAACACATATGAGGACGTACTGGGGTTACCAAATGAGGAGAGAGAGAAATGGGAGCAAGCCATGGAAAGGGAAATGGACAGCTTGAAGGAACTAAATGTATACACTCCCTCTAAAGTTCCAACAGGAAAGACAACCATAGGCACTAGGTGGGTCTATAAGATTAAGACCCTAGAGGGAAACAAAGTGCTCTACAAAGCAAGGTTGGTGGCCCAGGGATTCGCCCAGAAATACCCTGATGACTACACGGAAACGTACTCCCCCACAGTCAGGGCTGAGAGCGTGAAATGTGCACTGGTGGTCGCATCACTGCTGGGGCTGGAGGTGCACCAATTCGACGTGCAAACAGCTTACCTGCACGCTGAGCTCGACAAAGAGATATACGTGAGAGCGCCACCCAGCCAAAGCACCAAAAAGGGGGAAACCTGGATTTTAAACCGGAGCTTGTATGGACTCAAACAGTCAGGGAAACGCTGGTATGAGTGCCTATCCAAGACATTGAAATCCATGGGGTTCTCAGCCACCTCAGCCGACAACTGCTTCTTCACCAAGAAGTCAGGCAACTCCCCCGAGTATGTTTTGATATACGTAGACGATATATTGTATATCGGTGATCAAGCCAGCAAATGCAATAACTTCGCCAATGAGCTGGGGAAACATTTTACACTAAAAATATTGGGCAAGGTAGACAAATACCTGGGGGTACAGATCACGAAGACCGACAAGGGTTTTCAGCTGTCACAGAAGGATAAAATTTTAGAACTAATACACAAATGCAGCATGACAAACGCCAAGGGGTGTGAAACGCCAATGCAGCCAGACTTCTTGAAGGACATGTATAATGAGGCTGAAGCGTTCAAGGACAACACTTTATATAGATCCACCATAGGCTCCCTACTGTACATTGCAAACTGGACCAGGCCAGACATCGCATTGCCAGTCAATTTGCTGTCAAGACACGTGGGTAAGCCCACCGTGTACCACTGGGAGGCCATCAAAAGGGTATTAAGGTATTTAAAGCAAACTTCCGAGGCCTGCCTGTCATTAGAACCCAAGAACACCAAAGCACCCACACTCACGTGCTATGCTGACGCTGACTGGGCTGGAGACGTGAAGTGCAGGAAAAGCACTTCGGGTTACATATTTTTCCTAAACGACAGCCCAGTTCACTGGTACACAGGCAAGCAAGACTTGGTAGCCACATCCACCACGGAGGCTGAATATATCTGCTTGTCTAAAGCCGCCAACAACCTGGTCTGGTTTGATGACCTGCTCGCTGACATATGGGCCGAGCCAAGCTACCCCATCATCATGCACGAGGACAATAAAGCCGCCATGGAAATATCTAAGGCTGAAGCAGTGGGTCAAAGGTCGAGGCATATTGACATAAAATACAAACATGTCAGGCAGTTCGTGAATATAGGTTTTGTGGAGGTCATACATTGTGACACGGAAGAACAAACAGCAGACATCCTAACAAAGCCGTTACAAAATAAACAGCACACATATCTCACATCAAAATTAGGAGTCCTCTTGAAAAAAGCAACTCAAGTACATAACATAGAAAAATATCTCGGCCAGGCATTTAGAGGGGGTTTTGTCATGAATAAATGCCTTGCCTCTGATCCAGATCCAGAAGCAGGGGGGCTGGGCAAGCCAACCCCCAAGGTCCACCCTAACCCAATGACCCCTCCTTACCTTAGCCACGCCCCAGGGGTACTTAAGGGTCGGCCATGCGGTCCTGCCTCAGTTCCAGACTTGTACCTGTAACGATAAGATGCTTAATTAATAAACAATACTTGATACACTAAGAATTTGTCTATGGAGTTATTGGGCACGATCCTCGAACATATCTAATAGTGCTTTTGGAAGGAGGGGGGGCTGGCAGAGAAGAGAAATCAGAGGCTGGAACTGCTCAGTTTTACTTTTAGCCTTCAGAAGTTGTGGGAGCTTCATCACTGGAAGCTTTCAAGGAGAGACTGGATTGCCATCCATTGGAAATGATACAGGCTCTCCTGTATGAGCAGGGGGTTGGACTAACAGTAACAGAGTTGGAAGGGACCTTGGAGGTTATCTAATCCAACCCCCTGCTCAAACAGGACACCTATACTAGGGTTCGAACCGCCGATCTTTCTGATCGACAAGCTCAGTGTCTTAGGCATTGAGCCACCTAGTCAGGCTAAATGACAAGATGACCTCCATCGTCCGTTCCAACTCCTGTTATTCTGTTAATCCGAGGCTTTGGTGAACATGACAATAGAGTCACGATTCATCGAAGGAAGAGACGCCGCTTGCAACTCAATAGCCCCGATGCTCTTTTTGTCATTTTGTTCTCCCCACCCGTGACGCCTCCGCGCCCTCCTTTTATGCCTTTCCCCGCACCTGGATTGCGGAGCTGGGTGCTATGCTGGAACATGGAGGCTCAATTTTCTATAGGAAGAGAGAGCTCTGCAAGGACCAACTGTTGTATCCTCTCCTTTACCAGGAGAGCGTTAAATAGGGTTTTTGCAGAAGGAAGCAGGGTTGGTTGGGAGATCATTTTACACTCAGGTTGGTCAAACTTTCCAAGAAGCTGAACGGGTTAAAAGCAGAAAGTTCAGCAGCTAGAGTAAATCCAGAAATGTAGAGTCCTCTTACTGAATTCCTTTTCCTGGAGCTCCTTTGGCGAAAACTTTGAGTTTGGTGTTGCCGTTCTTGAATTTTCCTGGGCGAATCTCAACAGTTCGGAAAGAGTAAGTTAAATTTGAAACTTTCAGCAAAAGATCAGATCAGAAAATAAGAAATCCAGGAAGGGGGATTTGGGGGGGGTGGAGGTTAAAGGGAAATTATCCTCGAGTAAATAATTTCTTTTTTTAAAAAGAAACTGCACCTATTTAACGCTCTCCTGGTAGAGGAGAGGATACAACAGTTGGTCCTTGCGGAGCTCTCTCTTCCTATAGAAGATTGAGCCTCCATGTTCAAGCAGAGCACACAGCTCCGCAATCCAGGTGCGGGGAAAGGCATAAAAGGACGGCGCGGAGGCGTCACGGGTGGGTGGGTGGGGACAAAATGACAAAAAGAGCATCGGGGCTATTGAGTTGCAAGCGGCGTCTCTTCCTTCGATGAATCGTGACTCTATTGTCATGTTCACCAAAGCCTCGGATTATCAGAATAACAAAAGTTGGAAAGGACGATGGAGGTCATCTGGTCATTTAGCCTGACTAGGTGGCTCAGTGGCTAAAACAGTCAGATTGTCGATCAGAAAGGTCGGCAGTTCGGCGGTTCGAATCCCTAGTATAGGTCTCCTGTGAGCAGGGGGTTGGACTAGATGACCTCCAAGGTCCCTTCCAACTCTGTTACTGTTAGTCCAACCCCCTGCTCATACAGGAGAGCCTGTATCATTTCCAATGGATGGCAATCCAGTCTCTCCTTGAAAGCTTCCAGTGATGAAGCTCCCACAACTTCTGAAGGCTAAAAGTAAAACTGAGCAGTTCCAGCCTCTGATTTCTCTTCTCTGCCAGCCCCCCCTCCTTCTAAAAGCACAAATGGTCAGAATGCAGCTTTTAAAAGAGAAATCTATTTTCCCACTCATGAAATTGTTCTTGGGAGATAACAGATAGTCTTGGACTTGCGAAAACACTTGAGCCCAAAAATTATGTTGCCAAGTGAAACTTTTGTAAAGTGAGTGTCATCCCCCCCCCATTTTATGACCTTTCTTGCCACAGTGGTTAAGTGAATCATTGCAGTGGTTAAGTTAGTAACCTGGTTAAGTGAATCTGGCTTTCCTGTTGACTTTGCTTGTCAGACGGTCACAAAAGGGGAAGACACTGCAACCATCATAAAGATGAGTCAGTTGCCAAGCATCTGAATTTTGATCACATGACCTTGGGGATGCTGTAATGGTTGTAGGTGTGAAAAACGGTGGTAAGTCACTTTTTTCAGTGCAGTTGTAACTTCGGTCACTAAATGAATTGTTGTAAGTCGAGGACTACCTGGATGCAGTTCCTGAGTCTGGAAGCTCCATTTTTTTCTTGGTTGTTGCAGTTATTACCTTCAATTAAGCTAGAAGAAAATGACCTTTGCTGCATCTGAAAGCACTTCCTTCGATTGTTCGGCTCCAATTTTCTGCCACTATTTTTAATAAATCTTTCCTGAAGCTCTTAAAAAACCAAGGATTTTCTGGACAGTTTGTAAGAGGGGGCAAATCCCTTTGGCATTGGCCTTCTATGCCCCGACCGTATCCTGTTCCTTGCTACTAGATAACGCAAGGCCATGGCTTCAGGCTCTTGACTGCATTCCCCTAACCACTGTACCCACATGCCCAGTAGCTGTTTGGGGACAGGACTTAATCTCATCCCCAGTTTCATGTTGAAAGAGCTTCACTTTTCCCATTTCTATGGCTCAATATTTCATTGTTAGCAAACAAGCTACTTCTGCACACAGGTATTCCTTGACTTACAACCATTTTTTTAGTGACCATTTGAAGTTTGAGCAGCACTGAAAAAACTGAGTAATGACCGTTTTTCACACTTGCAGCTGTTGCAGCATCTCAGTGGTCACGTGACCAAAATTCAGATCCTTGGCCACTGGCTCGTATTTATGACAGTTGCAGTGTCCCAGGGTCATGTGATCACCTTTTGCAAGCTTCTGACAAGCAAAGTTAGTGGGAAAGCCAGATTAACAACTGTGGCAAGAAAGGTTAGAAAATGGGGTAAAATTCACTTAACAATTCTCTTTCTTAGCAGTGGAAATGTTGGGCTCAATTGTGGTTGTAAATCAAGGATTACCTGTATTAAGAACCTCCCATGTTCACAGAAGGACTATCCCAACATGTTGATTTGGGGGGAAATAATGAAACAGCTGGTTTGCTGATTACAAAGGAAAACCTGATGCTAGCCAAAAGATAGCTTCTTAAAACTCCACTCCTATTTCTCTATACTCACCTATTTTCTAGGGAGGTGTCTCCGCTTGATACTTTAGCTCTAATGAATATTTGTGACAGCTTAACAAAGGCTAGTTTGTTTTAAGTTAGGTATACCAGTCTTAAGATGGTTTAATCATAGCTTACTGTTGCATGAAGTGATCCCAGCCATGTAAGCTTTGCAGAAGAGGAAATCAAAAAATGCTTGATCAGTGTAAATTATGCTGACTGTTGAAATCTGTTAAATTGCTAAGAAAATAGAATCATAGGGCTGAAAGGTTTAGGTTTATTAGATTTTTATACTGCCCTTCTCCTGAAGGACTCAGGGCAGTGTACAGCCATGATAAAACACCAAGTCGTACAAAAATTAAAACCAATTAAAAGAATTAAACAATTGGCCTAATCCATTTAAAACCCCCCAATTTAAAACCCCATCTAAGTTCTTATTCAGCCAGGCCAGGCTGTTGAAATAGCAGGCTCTTTAGGGCCCTGCGGAAGGTGCGGAGGTCAGTAATCATACGTATCCCAGGGGGTAGTGTATTCCAGAGGGTGGGTGCCCCCACAGAGAAGGCTCTCCCCCTGGGAGTCGCCAGCCTACATTGTTTGGCCAACGGCACCCTGAGGAGCCCCTCTCTGTGGGAGCGTGTTGGTCGATGGGAGGCTATTGGTGGCAGAAGGCGGTCCCGTAGATATCTGGGTCCTAAGCCATGAAGCGCTTTAAAGGTGGTAACCAAGACCTTGAACTGCACCCGGAAGACCACTGGGAGCCAGTGCAGCTCACTCAGGAGAGGTGTCACATGGGTGCGCCTAGTCGCACCCATAATCACCCGCGTGGCCGCATTCTGGACCAGTTGGAGCCTCCGAGTGCTCTTCAAGGGGAGCCCCATGTAGAGAGCGTTACAGTAATCCAGACGGGACAAGACGAGGGCGTGAGTGACCGTGCGTAGGGTGTCCCGATCCAGAAAGGGGCGCAACTGGCGCACCAGGTGAACCTGATCAAAAGCCCCCCTGGCCACAGCTGTCATATGTTCTTCTAAGGACAGCCATGCGTCCAGGAGGACAACAAGATTGTGCGCCCCCTCCGAGGGGGGCAGAGTTTCACCCCCAATAGCCAGCGATGGAACCAGCTGGCTATATCAAGACACCGGAAGCCATAGCCACTCAGTCTTGGAGGGGTTGAGTCTGAGCCTGTTTCTCCCCATCCAGATCCGCACGGCCTCCAGGCAGCGAGACATTACGTTAAGAGCATCATTGGGGTGGTCTGGGGTGGAAATGTACATCTGAGTGTCATTAGCGTACTGGCGTACGCTGATGACACTCAGCGTACACTCCACCCCAAAACCACGGATGATCTCACCCAGTGGCTTCACATAAATGTTGAACAGAAGGGGCGAGAGGACCGACCCTTGCAGCACTCCATACATAAGGCGCCTCGAGGTCGACCTCTGTCCCCCTGCCAACACAGACTGTGTCCGGCTGGAGAGGAAGGAGGAGAACCACCGCAACATGGTGCCCCCCACTCCTAACCCCTCCAGCCGTCGCAGCATGATACCATGGTCGATGGTATCAAAAGCCGCTGAGAGGTCCAATAGGACTAGGACAGAGGGACATCCCCTGTCCCGAGCCCTCCAGAGATCATCTACCAATGCGACCAATGCCGTTTCCGTGCTGTATCCCGGTCTGAAGCCCGACTGGAACGGATCCAGATAGACAGTTTCATCCAGGTACCGAGGAAGTTGCTGCGCCACCACACTCTCAACAACCTTCGCCACAAAGCGGAGGTTGGAGACTGGACGATAGATCGCCAATATTGCCGGGTCCAGAGAAGGCTTCTTGAGAGGGGCCTCACCACCGCCTCTTTAAGGGCGGCGGGGAGGAGACCCTCACTCAAAGAAGCATTTATAATCCTCTGGAGCCAGCTTCGTGTAACCTCCCGGGAGACGAGCACCAACCAGGAGGGACACGGGTCCAATAAACATGTGGCAGAGCTCAACCTACCCAGAATCCTGTCCACGTCCTCGGGAGCCACAGGGTCAAACTCCTCCCAGATAACACTCTCAAGACTCACCCCCGTCACCCACTCTGGAGCTACCCAATCGGAGTCCAAGCCTTCCCGATTCTGAGCGATTTTGTCATGCAGGAATTGCACAAATTCCTCAGCCTTCTCCTGCAAGCTGTCTTCCTGCACTTCCACATGAAGGAGGGAGCAGGTCACCCTAAACAGGGCGGCTGGGCGGTTCTCTGCAGATGCAATAAGAGTGGAAAAATAGCTTGATTTTGCCCCTTTTATCGCCACTAGGTAGGTCTTAATATGAGATCTTACCAGTGTTCAGTCGGATTCCAATCACTCTCTAGGCGTCTTTTCTGGCGCTTCATCTCCCTCAGCTCCTCGGAGAACCAGGGGGCTAGATGGGATCTGCATCAGGTCAGAGGCCGCAAAGGCACGACTCGGTCCAAAGCTCTAGCGGCCGCCTTTTCCCAGGCGGCCACCAGCTCTTCAGTCGAGCCGTGAGCCAGAGCTTCAGGGAATGGCCCAAGCTCCATCAGGAACCTATCAGGATCCATCAGGCACCTGAGACGGAACCACCTAGGCTAGTGATGGCTAACCTTTTTGCCATCGCGTGCCAGGAGAGGGGGAGCGGGGGGAGGGTCGCGCATGCACGTGCCCACGCGCATGCACACGCAACCCCACCCACCCCCGCTCCTGGCACATGATGGCCTGGTAGGCCCGTTTTTCTTTCTTACCTGATTTCAGATCCTTTCTATGGATCTGGGAAGGTCGAAAACAGCCTTTCCCACTCCTCTGGAGGCCCTACGGAGGCTGAAAGGGCCAATTTACCAACTCTCGGTGGGACAGGACGTGATGTTTTTTGCTGTCCCCAGCCTCCAGAACCTCTCTAAGAGTCTCTAGGAGCCTCTCTAGGAGTCTCTAGGAGTCTCTCTAGGAGTCTCTGGAGGCTGGGGACAGAAAAAAAGTCACTTCCTGTCCCACCGGGAGTCAGGAAATGGGCCCTTTCAGCCTCCGTAGGGCCTCCAAGGGAGAGGGAAAGGCTGTTTTCGCCCTTCCCAGATAAATAGAGAGGATCTGGAGCCGGTAAGAAAGAAAAACGGGCCTTCCCCCACCACTGGCCCTCCAGAGGCAGGAAACAGCCTGTTTCCCTACTTCTGGTGGGCCCAGAAGGCCCGAAAATCAGCTGTCCGGCATGCGCATGCGCCCCAGAGCTGAGCTGGCGTGCCCACTAATATGGCTCTGCGTGCCACCTGTGGCACGCGTGCCATAGGTTCACCATCATGGACCTAGGCGGTTCCATCTCCCTGCGGCGAGGGGAAGCGGCTCGAAAGTCTAGTTGAAGAAGTTAATGATCTGACCATGACAGGAGTTTGATGACTAGATCCCCTAATTCCAGATCATTCAACCACTGACCAGAGACAAGAATCAGGTCCAGAGTGTATCCCCCCGTGTGAGTCGGGCCTGGAACTAACTGGGTCAGGTCCATGGCTGCCATGGAAGCCATGAACTCCCGAGCTATCCCCGACGTTTCACCGACGGATGGCAGGTTGAAGTCCCCATGACCATAAGTCTGGGGGTATCCACCACCACCCCGGCTATTACGTCAAGCAGCTCAGGCAGGGTTATTGCCACGTGGCAGGGAGCCAGATACGTAGTCAACTAACCCATCTGTACCCCACGACCGCACTTCACAAGGAGGGACTCACATCCGGCTATCTGCGGAACAGTGGCCTCCTTCAGACAAAGACTTTCCTTAATACTGGCCGCCACCCCCCCCGCCCCTCCCCTGAGCCCTCGGAAGGGACCTTGAAGGTCTTCAAGTCTAACTCCTTGCCCAAGGCAGGGGACCTTATGCCATCTGTCAAATGGTTGTCCAATCTATTTTTGAAAATCTCCAATGATGGAACACCCACAACTCCCAAGAGGCAAGATATTCCATTGATTAATTCTTCTCACCATCAGAAAATTTCTCCTCACTTCTAGGGTGGATCTCTCTTTGACAAGCTTCCACCCATTACTTCTTGTCCTACCCTCTGGTGCCCTAGAGAATAAGTCAATCCTCTCTTTGTGACACATCCTCAAGTGTATTGGAAGAGGAGCTGTCACATCCCACTTAACCCTTCTCTTTGAGTCTAGGATACCCCATGCTCTGCCTCTGCCCCTTGGTTTCCCCAAAGCCCTATGGGCCTTCTCCATACTCCACCCCATCACCATTTGCTTACTTACATTTTGATGAGCTCAGGAAGTCAGAGTAGAGAAGGCCATTCCCTCAGTGGGCCACGTGGCACAATCAAGAAGAAGAAATCCAGTCTCTTTTGTTTCCATGGCAATCCTTTTGCCTCAGCCAGCATAAATTACTACGATTTCTTCTTAGCTACGATTTCTTCTTAGCTCCGCCGGTGCTAGTTTTATGCTGCTGGTGCTAAGAAGATATCATAGTGGTCTACCCTGGCTGTGGAGGGGAAAGGACTTGCATGGAAACAAAAGTGATGGGGTTTCTTCTTTGCTCTACCAGCAAAAGACTAGAGTAAACCTAACGCTGATAGAGAGAAGAAGAAATCCGATCTCTTTTGTTTCCATGGCAATATTCTCCTCCCTAGCCAGGGTAAACCACTACGATCTCTTTTTAGCGCTGCCACCATAAAATTAGTGCCGGTGGAACTAAGAAGAAATCGCAGGAGCTTATGCTGGCTGGAAAGGAAAGGATTGCAATGGAATCAAAATAGACATGGTTGGAAATTAAATGCAAAAGTTAATACTCATGAGGAATAACACACAATTATTAGTTAATCCTATATATTATTATATCTTAATTAAACAGTAATTAATTTCATATATAAGAATTTTTGTATAAACTGTATAATTAATTAGATAATTGATTAGACACCACATTTGTAAATATACAATATGACTACATGTTGCCGAACCGTATACTTTGAATTGTAATATATTCTTAATTCAATAAAATTTCATTAAAAAAAAAAACACAAAAAAACAAAAAAACAAAATAGACATGATTTCTCCTTAGCACCAGCAGTGCTAGCTTTATGCTAGTCTTACACTGGTTGAGCAAAGAAGAAATCTCATCTTTTTTACTTCCATGGCAATCCTTTCCTCCCCAGGCAAGGTAAATCACTACCAATTTATGCTGGGTGGGGCGAAAGGATTGCCATGGAAACAAAATAGATCGTAAGTCTTATTCTTGATTCTGCCACGTAGCTCAGTTGACATCTTGAGCTTGTCAAAAATTAAGTAAGTGAATGAAGAAAGGGAGTGAGGTTGGGGAGCAATACCTAGAAGCAAAATATTGACAAAGCAGGCCAATGTACTGTGGTCTGGGGCCTCTGAGGATTGACCGGGCAAGATGTTTGGGAAATAGGTGGGTAGGTATGCTGCAGCCTCTCTGCAGCTGGTCGATGGACCATTGGGGGGAGGGGCTGCAAAATTTCAACTTTGAAACAGATTCGTATTTAGCATTGGGTGTAATGGCCTATTTTACCTCAAGGATTACCTGTACTACTTTTTTTCACATCTTCTGCAACCTTTTTATAAACAATAAAACTTACACTATCATTTGAATCTTACAGACAAAGATGCCAATATAACAATACTGGAAACTGAGAATAACAAGCAACATTGAAAAGCAAAGCAAATTGAAGCAGAAATTTAAAAAAATATTTTCCATTTCCTTCAGAAAGCCTATTGTGGGAAAAGTACAGAGTTCAAATGACAAGAGGATCCACACGGGAGATCAGCCATATAAATACTCTGAATGTGGCAAAAGCTTTGGTCAGAATAGCTTCCTTGTGATTCATAGAAGGATCCATATAGGACAGATGACCTACAACTGCTCCCAATGTGGTAAATGCTTTTGCAAACATGGCAACTTTGTGATACACCAGAGAACTCACACAGGAAAGAAACACTTTGAATGTCCTGAGTGTGGGAAAAGTTTCAGTCAGAATTCCAGCCTGGTGAAACATCAGAGGACTCACACAGGAGAGAAACCCTTTGAATGTCCTGATTGTGGGAAAGGTTTCAGTGTCAATTCCAACCTGCTGATACACCAGAGAACTCACACAGGAAAGAAACCCTTTGAATGTCCTGAGTGTGGGAAAGGTTTCAGTGTCAATTCCAGCCTAGTGAAACACCAGAGAACTCACACAGGAGAGAAACCCTTTGAATGTCCTGATTGTGGGAAATGTTTCAGTCAGAATTCCAGCCTGGTGATACACCAGAGGATTCACACAGGAGAGAAACCCTTTGAATGTCCTGATTGTGGGAAATGTTTCAGTCAGAATTCCAACCTGGTGATACACCAGAGGACTCACACCAGGGAGAAACCATATGAGTGTCCAGATTGTGGGAAACGTTTCACAACAAATTCCCACTTGGTGATACACCAGAGGACTCACACAGGAGAGAAGCCCTTTGAATGTCCTGATTGTGGGAAAGGTTTCAGTGTCAATTCCAACCTGGTGAAACACCAGAGGACTCACACAGGAGAGAAACCCTTTGAATGTCCTGATTGTGGGAAATGTTTCAGTAAGAATTCCTACCTGGTGATACACCAGAGGATTCACACAGGAAAGAAACAGTTTGAATGTCCTGAGTGTGGGAAAAGTTTCAGTCAGAATTCCCACCTGGTGATACACCAGAGGACTCACACAGGAGAGAAGCCCTTTGAATGTCCTGAATGTGGGAAAAGCTTCAGTCAGAATTCCTACCTGGTGAGACACCAGAGGATTCACACAGGAGAGAAATCCTTTGAATGTCCTGATTGTGGGAAATGTTTCAGTGAGAATTTCAGCCTGGTGAAACATCAGAGGACTCACACAAGAGAGAAACCCTTTGAATGTCCTGAGTGTGGGAAAAGTTTCAGTCAGAATTCCAGCCTGGTGAGACACCAGAGGACTCACACAGGAGAGAAACCCTTTGAATGTCCTGATTGTGGGAAATGTTTCAGTAAGAATTCCTACCTGGTGATACACCAGAGGATTCACACAGGAAAGAAACAGTTTGAATGTCCTGAGTGTGGGAAAAGTTTCAGTCAGAATTCCCACCTGGTGATACACCAGAGGACTCACACAGGAGAGAAGCCCTTTGAATGTCCTGAATGTGGGAAAAGCTTCAGTCAGAATTCCTACCTGGTGAGACACCAGAGGATTCACACAGGAGAGAAATCCTTTGAATGTCCTGATTGTGGGAAATGTTTCAGTGAGAATTTCAGCCTGGTGAAACATCAGAGGACTCACACAAGAGAGAAACCCTTTGAATGTCCTGAGTGTGGGAAAAGTTTCAGTCAGAATTCCAGCCTGGTGAGACACCAGAGGACTCACACAGGAGAGAAACCCTTTGAATGTCCTGAATGTGGGAAAGGTTTCAGTGTCAATTCCAGCCTAGTGAAACACCAGAGAACTCACACAGGAGAGAAACCCTTTGAATGTCCTGATTGTGGGAAAAGTTTCAGTCAGAATTCCAGCCTGGTGATACACCAGAGGATTCACACAGGAGAGAAACCCTTTGAATGTCCTGATTGTGGGAAATGTTTCAGTCAGAATTCCTACCTGGTGATACACCAGAGGATTCACACAGGAGAGAAACCCTTTGAATGTCCTATGTGTGGGAAAAGTTTCAGTCAGAGTTCCCATCTCATTGGCCACCAGAGGAGTCACACAGGAGAGAAACCCTTTGAATGTCCTGAGTGTGGGAAAAGTTTCAGTCAGAGTTCCCATCTCATTAGCCACCAGAGGACTCACACAGGAGAGAAACCCTTTTAATGTCCTGATTGTGGGAAAAGTTTCAGTGTCAATTCCTACCTGGTGATACACCAGAGGACTCACACAGAAGAAAACCATATGAGTGTCCGGATTGTGAGAAAGATTTCAGTATTTCGTCTAACCTTTAACCTTTCTTATCTCCCATTCGGAGTATAGATGAGAAATTGATTATTTAAATTCTGGCCTTTTTTAGTCACCAGTTCTCAGGATTTGACCTGTAGGTGGAGAGAGAAAAATAGAAAATATTAGTTTGATAAAGGCTAACTACCTGTTTCTGATTATCAGCAGTACTTTTTGGATGTTTGCATTTGCAGAAGTCGTGGAATTTCCGCAAACCGGCCTTTGGGTGATGTTTTTTGTATTTTGATTATGGAATTCCAACATGTGGAATTTCATCCTTCTATCTTGGTGAACTCCAGATTTTGAACCTCACAATTTCCCAGCCAGCATACAAGTAATCCTCGAGATACAACTGTGATGAGAACTAACTATTATGAATGCATTTAGCAATGGCAACAGTGCTTTTGTCGTGGAAAAATAAAGAGATGAATTTCGAAATCAGAAAAAGCTTTATTTTGGCCAAAAGGTTCAGAAAGCATAATATAAATCCTAACATCTGATCCTAACAATCCTAACGTATCTATATACTAACAAAAACAGGAAGTATCTTAGATCTGCCTCCTTAGCTAGTCCTCCTCCCCTATCGCTTTAGGCAGGAAACTCCATGTGGGTTAGTTCTGCATTTTAACATAGTCCAGGAAGTTAGCTAATACTTGTAGTTTGATTTTTTGAACCCAGCAACTGTCTCTTTGCCTGCGGTTTGACTTCTTGAACTCTGCAACTTTCTCAAGTCAAAAGGGCCCTTCAGAGATCATGCAGGCTGACCCCGTATTATTTCACTCTTATATCCAATTTCATTTTACGTCCTGCCTTATCCCCCCTTTTAGACTCTATTTTACTTGTTTACAATTGAGTCTAACCTATTACAGAGCTTAATTCAACAATGTAAGCATATAACATATAACATAATCAATTCAGGATAAGATACATAGTAATGCAAAGGAAAGACAATTAATACTTATGACTTTCAATCTTATTCTCTGAAGCACTTTCTCTAATTACCCAGTTGAGAAAGATCAGAAACTTCATTTTCATCAAAGAGATCAGGGTCAATTTTACAGTCTATAAGGCTTTCCATCAAAATCAACTCATTTTTTTTCAACTCTTATCTCTTTCACTGCTCTCATAGCTAGTTGTCTGAACAAGGAATAAAAGCCAGGCCTATCACAACAGGAATAACATCTGCCTAATCCAGCCAGGCCCAGACAACTAAGAGAACCACTTCTGACCCATTTTGGATGCCCGGTCCTTGGCATTCTCTCTGACCACACCTGACTTATTCATGTCTGCAACCCACTTTTCAGTTGTTAAAAGGTTATGATATGCCAGTTTTGTAAGACCACTGCTGCCAAGGAATCTATTTGGTCTTGGACATTGACTAAGGTTCCATCAATTTGGTTCAGGCTTCCTTGGAACTCCTCTGACAATTGCTTGAACTGTGGTATGGAGTGTGCCATTCCACCTACACCTGTTCCAACAACAGTCCCCAGGATTGCTAATAGTGGGACCGAGAGTGGCACCCCTTTTTGAACATGCCCCTTGAGGGGAACAGGGATAGTGTGCTCTTCACTGACGACACATATTTTTGGGGAAGATGTAAATGTTCCAGTCCAGTTTGTAGGTAAACACAAATACACATTTTTCTCACATAAGAAGAAAACTCCATTTTTCCTTACATACACACCTATACTCATGGAAAAGGCATGGGCTCATTGGTTTTTTTCTCATTAGTCCAGACCCCTAAAGTCCCTGCCACTAGCATGCCACCAGTGACTGCAATGGGACTTCTAGTGTAGGGTCCTTTTGCTTATCTCTGAGAATAGTGCCTTCAAAAAGGTAACGAGAGCTTGTATTTCCAGGGGGAAATAGGACACATAAGCCTGTGTTGGATCTAATGGAGACATGTGGTGGTATTGAGAAGGTGACCTTCTGTTGAAATAAGAGTGGGCATAAGGAGAATTGCCACTAGTTAGTTTTTACATCCATAAGTGTCATTCTAAGGTCAAGTGTATTTCTGATGGACATTGATCTCCCATCAGGGATCCTACAGGAATATCTGGTTCCTGATGTCACTTTACACACGAGGGTGACTCTAGGATTTCCGTACCAACAGCTATAGGGCTAACAATGGGGAACGGTTCATTCCCAGCCTTTTGAATGCATTATAAAAGTCTCCTTGCAATTTGGCTACTGTTACTTTGATTCACCATTAATATCTTTCTCAAGGACTATTGTGGCCCTGGTCCTGATCCAAAGATCTGGCTCAACTGGAACAGCATTGTAAGATGAAGGACCAGCAGACAAACAGAACCAGCATTTTTGGCTTAGGGTAGGGTCAGACTGATTAACTAGGCTTTAACTCAATTCCAGTATTCTTAACAGGTAGTTCCCTTTTCTCAATTGTTACAGGGGCCCATTCTCCCTTTGTTCTACCCCACTCTGTTCTGGGATTGTCAGATGCTTGTCTTTAGGTTTTGGGGTTAGCTTAGGTCCAGGGTACCGACCCCACCTATTGATGATACGTCGTTGGCGGGAGTGGACCTGTTCCAAAGAGTTCACACTTTGTGACCCGTTCTTGCCTTGTCTTTTGGGGTTCTCAACTTCCCCAGATCCTTTCTCAAGGGCAAGGGTGTCACTTGGGCATTCTCACAACATTGGGAACTACTATTCCGTGTGTTATTACTCATTAGGCCCTTTGCCAATAATAGCCGAAGCCACAGAAAACTCACAATTGTCCTCTACACAGAACCTATCCAATCACAATTCCCTTAATCTACAAAATCACCACATCAGGAAGAAGGTTAGGGTTATATGTGACTTGGAAAAGGCAATATTAGTCTTAGGTATCTCACAGAGCCACCTCTTATTTGTTAATACAATATCCACATTCTTAGAGCTAGAGCAGCCCCACAGAGAGCTCACTCCCTGGCTTCTTTAAACAGAAATATCTACAGGAGTTTCATACTGCTCTCTGTCACAGTCTATGATTTTAGATTCAGCACCTGTCTTTTTGAGGAAGAGGTGATTCCAGCATACTATATACAGCAAATCACAACTAATCACAGTAACAGCAAGCACGCTTATTAATTTAAGGGATAGTGTACCTATGGCTATATATGTTTGACTTCCCATTCCAAATCTTCAGCCGTACGTAGAGGGTCAGCTTCCGGTGTGACACCAGTAAGGCCTCTTCTGCCCCGTATGTTGCCTGCCCGTTGCCGGTAGGACAGTTATAGGGGGCACTTCTTCAAGCGTACTACTAGGGGTCGGGCCTAGTCTTGGTCTGCCTCCCAATATTCCTAAACTGCGGACTTAACTCGAGTCCAGTGAATCCAAGACTTGGATTCCAACATTTTTACTGCAAATGGGAACACATGACCACAGTATATGGGCCCTTCCACCTAGGCATTAAACTTTTTCCTTTCCAGTGTTTTACCCATACAATCCTCCAAATCACAATTTAATCATTTCTACCTTCATCACAATATAATTTAAAATATTTCAATCATTACAATTTCCCTAATTAAATTTAGAATTGTTCTAGCTGGTATCCAAGTTACAACTTAATCCTTTTTACTTTTACCACCATATACCATTAAGGTATTTCAATTGTTACAGTTTATACTTATTCGTATTTCTAGAAAAAGATTAAAAAAAGAAAACTTATCATTATCTAGATTTCAAAATACAAAGACAAATACTCCAATTATTATTCACTTCATTTTTACAATTATGTTTCCCCATAACTAGAGGTGGTTAAAAATGGTGGGCTAAGGGACAGACAATATTGTTGGATTTCTTGTATTTGCTTATTTAATTCTCCCGCTATCTGATTCACCCACTTAGTTCCTATCTTAGTTCCTATCTGGCTTAGGTCTCCTATATGATTTTCAAGTATTTCAAAAGGAGATAATCTAATTCCTTTACGTGGAGAAGATCACACAGATCAAAGTACTAGTGGTAATGCATTTACTCACTTAAGGTGATTTTCAAGGCACCCCTTAGTCTGCTTTTTCTCTTAAAGTAAATTGGGTGTTTTAATCTGTGTTTCGGCCAAAATATTTAATAATTTTAAGGGATTTTTAATATTTGTATTATCTGTATTTTATCTTGGCTGTTCACCGCCCTGAGTCCTTCGGGAGTAGGGCAGTATAGAAATTTGATTAAATAAATAAATAAATAAATAAATAAATAAATAAATAATAAACAAACAAACAAACAAACAAACAAACAAATAAATAAATAAATGTCCAGGTAAGGCTGGTCAGTCAGACTTGGGAAGGTCTGCTCCACTCTGGTTGTTGTTTTGATCTGCTTACGTTGTTTCAATTTCATGACCCGATGCTTGCAAAAGAATAGCTGGGTTAAAGCATTTGTTTGTTTCAGGGTCACTTGTGGTTTCTGAGTGAGGAGAGCTTGATGCTTGTGTCTCTAAAACTCCTTGAATCGCATGGCTGGTGTAAATAGTAGTTGGCTGCCTAAGTGTTAATTTCCCAATAGTTAGTTCTGCAATTTGACAAACAGCTTCCTTCCATCTCTCTCTGCCTTTGGCTTATGGCAATGCAGCGGGGGCAGCTTTTCTGCCTGAGAGGAAACCGGCACTGCTACGGCTTCAACATGGGGTGCAGCATATCCCGGTGGGTTCGGTACTTCAAACTCCTGCCAGGTATTGGGGGTTTGATCTTCTTGAGCCATATTTCTCGCCATTATGACCAGGAGGGAAACTGGACACGCAGGCATATCTATATTTCTTCCATCTAAGGAACATTTCAGGGTTTTCAGCATGGGGCGACGATTTATGAAGCCATTATTAACCCCTTGGATATTTTAGAAAAGGGAGCTAGCAGCTTTGTTTAGATGCCCCTGTGTCTACTAAGAAGGTTACATTATTCCCCCTGTTTTCATTTGGACCAAGGATTCAGGGGGGGGCTTGACTGAACCCTGATCCCCTTCAGCCTTCAGGCCTCTCATCTACTGCAGCCAGGCCTATGGCTTCTGTTATGTCCTTATAAAGTCATCCGCCGGGGATTGGCTAATCCACCGGCGGGAAGTTTAAACAACTGTCATTGGACGGCTGAGTCTGCCGAAGCGTATAAAAGAGCTCCGGCAGCACAGCCGTCTGCCTTTATTCCGAGCTGAAATAAAGTGCTGATGGACCAACGCTGGTCGCGTCTTCCTTTCCCTGCGCCGATCTAACAGCTTCCTTTCTTTACAGAATGCTTTTGTAGCTTTTCTTCAATTGCAGATTGAGCTCACTAGGCTTGAGAAGCAACTTGTCTAAAACAGCATACACACAACCCTTGCAATGATGATTCAACATGCTGCCCTGGGACCTTTTATTACAGGCAATCTTCTTAGCCAACACAAGAACTGTCTTTTCTCTTCTTGGCCCTCTACTGCTGAGCATAATTCTTTCACTCAATTAAGTCCAAATGGAATTTAGGATG